GGGAGGAGGGCGAGGAAGGAGAGAGAGGGAAGGAGGCGAGGAGAGAGAAGGAAGGAGGGCGAGGAGAGAGAGGAAGGAGGGCGAGGAGAGAGAGGGAAGGAGGGCGAGAAGGAGAGAGAGGGAAGGAGGGCGAGGAGAGAGAGGGAAGGAGGGCGAGAAGGAGAGAGAGGGAAGGAGGACGAGAAGGAGAGAGAGGGAGGAGGGTGAGGAGAGAGGGGGAAAGGAGGGCGAGAAGGAGAGAGGAAAGGAGGGCGAGGAGAGAGGGAAGGAGGGAGGAGAGAGAGGGAGGAGGGCAAGAAGGAGAAGAGAGGGAAGGAGGGAGAGAAAGAGAGAGGAAGGAGGACGAGGAGAGGGAGGGAAGGAGGGCGAGAGAGAGAAGGAAGAGACGGAGAGAGAGAGGGAAGGAGGACGAGAAGGAGAGACGGGGTTGAAGGAGAGAAAGAGAGAGAGAGGAGGAGACGAGGAGAAGAGAGGGAAGGAGGGCGAGGAGAGAGAGGGAAGGAGGACAAGAAGGAGAGACGGTGTGGGGCGGAAGGAGAGAAGGAGAGAGGGAAGGAGGACAAGGAGACAGAGGAAGGAGGACGATGAGAGAGAGGGAAGAGGACAAGAAAGAGAGAGAGGGAAAGGAGGGCGAGAAGGAGAGAGAAGAAGGAGGATAGAGGGAGTGGTAAGAGAGGGAGACCGTAAGAGAGAGAGGGGGGGGGGGGTACAGAACTTCATCAAAGAAAGAATACTGTTAATACACATTTTCCTAGTCACGAAAATGTATATTCAGGATATAACAACAAGGTTTTCATGAGAATATAACAAACATTTTGATGATATAATTCACCCAAATATTCTACCCTTAAAGAAAACGAAAGCATTTTGAGGATAAACTACGTTATTCGTAAATTCATATTTCCGTAGCTGAAAATGTGGTGAATTAGATACAAAGAATATGATGTGAGTTAAATGTGAGTTTCTAGATATATTCTCTATTGATTATGGAGTCAAGTGGCAAAAAATGAGAAGTGTTTGTATGTCACTGGTAGATGCATTATCACCACAGTGGAGTTTTCTATAATTCAGCACATATTCTTATTATTTACTTATAGCATTTACTTATTTCTTTATCATATAATAGAAAACAACAAAATTAGATAAAGAGACGAAATTAGTATAATGATTCGAAACTTTTTTCCTTTCCTCACTGTGTGTAAACTTATATCTAAGTTAATTTATCAACATACTTGCTTTTTCCTCATTATTGTGCATAAAATTTCCGGGTGGAGACAAATGCAATGAACATTACATACTATATATCTACACATGGAGTTGTAATAACATAACCATATGACATACAACCAACTTCATGATAGACACCTAAATCTCAAAAAATAACTGCAACTAAAGTGTTGGTTTAAGCAATGGAGGACAGTGGATGGGCGTTGCCATGCAGAATGGGGACGCCCGTATGAGAGGCTGCTTACGGTGTGGGCGGGAACTCATTGAGCTTGTTGTGGGCTGGCATATTTAAGCATTTTTGAGAAAGAAAAAGAAGGGGAAAACATTAGGGTCATTGTGTAAAAGAGAGAGAGAGAGAGAGAGAGAAGAGAGAGAGAGAGAGAGAGAGAGAGAGAGAGAGAGAGAGAGAGAGAGAGAGAGAGAGAGAGAGGACAAAGAGAGAGAGAGAGAGCGAGAGAGAGGAAGAAGGAGGAAGAAGAGAGAGATAGATAGATAGATAGATAGATAGATAAAGAGAGAGGGGGGAGGGAGGGAGGGAGGAAGAGAGAAACGGAGAGAGAGAAAAAAAGAGAGAGAGAGAGAGAGAGAGAGAGAGAGAGAGAGAGAGAGGAGAGAGAGAGAGAGAGAGAGAGAGAGAGAGAGAAGAGAGAAAGAGAAAAAAGAGAGAGAAGAGAGAGAGAGAGAGAGAGAGAGAGAGAGAGAGAGAGAGAGAGAGAGAGAGAGAGAGAGAGAGAGAGAGAGAGAGAGAGAGGAGAGAGAGAGAGAGAGGGAGGGAGGAAAGAGAGAAACGGAGAGAGAGAGAGAGAGAGAGAGAGAGAGATAGATAGATAGATAGAAGAAGAGAGAGAGAGAGAGAGGGGTGGGGAGGGGAAGTTTTTTTTATATTCATTATCATTATCATTTTGCAATGATAAAGTACCCATACTCATACATTCAGGTATTTCATTCGTATATACCAATTACTTTTTAAATGATTCAGATGCCAGAAGTACCGCTCAGGATTTTTAGTCATCACTTATATACTTATCTCACTTAACTGAAAGTGTCTGGCGTTGTCTGAGCAGAAATTTGCATACCAGAACATGAACAATTATACAAGCATTATAATAGCAAGCAACTACAAAAAATATGTCTGATCTAGGAGTATATTTCTGGAACAATATCCTTGTACACAAACTATATACTTTGTTTTTTATCTTTTCTACAGACACAGCAAATTTTTAACACTGAGTTATCCTTTTGTTATCATCATTACTATCGTCGTCATCATCATCAATAATATTGTTACTACTCTCATTATCATTATGTTGTCATTGCCAACCTGACACTGTTTTGATCCAATGTTTTACATAATAAGAAGCAGGTTTTGGTCTTTTCAATCTTTGTCACACCCCTACCTGATGTCATCATGCCTGTGCTGCTGTTTGTGTCAAAAGTCATGCTTATGCCAAAGGAAAACCCCAGTAAAGAAAATTTTAGTTTTACATAGTATTTCTGTTGAAAAATTAACCCAGTAAAGAAAATGTTAGTTTTACATAGTATTTCTGTTGAAAATTTTGCTCACTTAGATCCTCCCAATTTATGTCACATCTTTTGCCCTGATGTCACCTTGCCTATGCCATTTCTCAGGTCAAGTCACCCCTGTGGTCCGAGTTTTAGCTGCCTAGGGTCACAGGGGACTGAGTGCATAAGGTTTTAATACGTACATAACCAGACGGATAGTTTTGTTAATATATAGGTACACAGACACATGCAAATATACATATAAACAAATCAATAAATGAATGAACGAATGTTAAAAAGAAATAGACGAAAACATGTATAATATATATATATATATATATATATAATATATATATATATATATATATATATATAATTTGGTCACATGGTATATGCAATATGATCTTATAATTCTGCTTTTGTTACGTCCGTCAGTTGTCCGTTTGCACGTTCCTCTTACATTGTACGCCTGATCTCATGTTTAATGAGTATGAATTTGATGTCTCACTATAATGATAGACATAATTCACTTAATTTCAATATTTGCGAAGACTAGCCTCGCCCGGGCCTTGTTTACATGTGGCTCGGTCTGTGTCAGCTTATTTATCAATTTGTTTATATCTTATTTATTAATTTGTTTATATTTATCAATCTGTTTATAGTTGTCTCATTTGATTCATTTTCACTGAATGCTTACCGTGGAGGCCGCATTGCCGCAAACAGGCGCTCCAGCCTCCACAATTGTAAGCATAAGGCTTGATCTGCTCACCATCCCGGCGGCTGTGGTAGGTGGTCCGTGACTCAGATATTGTGTGTGCTCACAGCTCTGCGTTCGGCTCGCCACATTGCTTGCAACACCTGTCGGCAGAGTCAATTGTTGAAGCGAGAACATCCCCCTCGGCCAGATGGGACTCAGATGGCACAGGCGGTGAGCCACTGGCACTCTCTGACGCATTAATCGAGGTGCCGATGTCATTCTTCACAGAATCAGACAAGGCTATCAATGCGCATGGCAAATTATTGACAACTGACAAATGACAACTTAAATATTGAAGAATGATGACACACAGGCGCGCACGAGATCACATTACGAATCAATGGGAATCGTGTTCCATCATTAACATTATTGTTACTATTGTCATCATCATCATGATATTGAAATAATTAGACCGTCAATTTACTCACATCTACTATTTACACCACTACCCGAGTGGTGGGGTGGGGGGGGTGAGAAGGAAGGAAGGAGGGAAGGGGGACGGAGGGGATGAAAGAGAAAAAAATGACTTAGGGGAAAGGAAGGGGAAGAGAAAAAAGGGGGATGGAGGGGGAGAGAAGGAAATAAAGAGAGAAAAAGTTGGGGGAGTTTAAGCAGGAAGAGGAAGTCGGAGGGGCAGATGTAGGGTTTAAAGTGTGAGGGGAGGAGTGAATTTGAGGAGAGGGAGAGGGAAGGGGAGAAGGGAGGAGAAAGGTAGAGCGAAGAGAGTGAAAGAGGAGAAGTACTTTCCTTTTTTTGCGGCATTTCGTCGAAATTCTTACTATATATATATTACACTTTAAAATAATCTGTTTTGAATGTGTGTATCTTAATCAAACTTATAGTTACGCACACACACACACACACACACACACACACACACACACACACACACACACACACACACACACAAACACACACACACACTTTTTCCCACCCACTCTCTGCCTCACAACCTCCCTGATATCCCTTGTCTATGTTATTTATTATGTGTAGTTACACCTGTGGTCCAAGTTTTAGCTACCTAGAGCCACAAGGGCATAAGGAGCTAACTCACACACAGACAATGAGTTTAATTCACATGATTGTATACTGTTTAATATTTTTTAGTTACCCTTTTAATCAAAATAAGTCAGTTTTTTTAGTTTTTATTCTTATCATTAATTGGTTTCGTATATGATACTTACCTGTTTAAAGTATTCAATCTTTATCATATCAGAAATCAGTGATGATTTAAATGTAAGATTCATTAATTTATAATTCATACGTATTAACAGATAATTCAATCTAAATGATAAGAATAAACAGTTCATGATTCAAGTGCTATAATTGATAATTTAAGACTATTTGGTAATAATATTCTACTAGTCACTTTACAAATGTAATAACTTACAATTTAATAACCAACAGAATTCGCCAGTCCACACGTAACTCACACAAGATAACTACTGATACAAATTTGACAAGATTCAACCGCTCGTAATTCAAACTTGAATTCAAATTTCCCGCCAGGATGTACAGCTGTCGGCGACGCGGACGTTGGCTGAGCGCGGGTCTGCTGGCGCTCGCTTTCCTCCTCCTGATCTTCCTTATAAGGGATCCGAGAGTCTCCTTCGATGAGAATTCTGACGTCATGATCCCGCTGAAGTGAGTTTATAGAGGATTGGATCTTTTTTATGTCGTTTATGATTATCTGTTATTATTTTCTCAAGGCTTCAAGCATTTTTGGTTAATTTCAATTGAAAACGCTATGGTGAATTATTATTATTATCGTTATCATGACGATGATTGTACTAATTATTATTATTAGTTGTTGTAGTAGTAGTTGAACCAATATATTTATTTCTTTTATTATTCATATCGTTATCATAAGCATCATTATCATTATCAGATTCTAAACTAAAGAAATATAAGCAGAGTATTCAAGACAAATCCAATCTAAAGCAACATATCTTGCTTGAGGTTGCTCGCTAAAATCCACCTCAAAAGCTTAATAATGACTAATAATGATTACGATAATCTCAATCAACATCACCTTCATCGTAATCATGATTAGTGTATTATTAATGCTATCCTTATCGCTAGCATTAATAATGACACTAATAATGATTACGATAATCTCATCAAATCAAAGTACCTCATTAGTGCCTTCTAAAACAGGAAAAAAATCTTCTACTTATTTCAATAAAATTTCACACACTATCACAATATATATGAAAATGGTTTATTCTACTTATTTCAATAAAAATTCACAATCACAATATATATGAAAAATGGTTTATTCTACTTATTTCAATAAAATTTCACATACTATCACAATATATATGAAAAATGGTTTATTCTACTTATTTCAATACAATTTCACAATCACAATATATATGAAAAATGGTTTATTCTACTTATTTAATAAAATTTCACATACTATCACAATTTATATGAAAAAATGGTTTATTCTACTTATTTCAATACAATTTCACATACTACCACAATATGAAAAATGGTTTATTCTACTTATTTCAATAAAATTTCACAATCACAATATATATAAAAAATGGTTTATTCTACTTATTTCAATACAATTTCACAATACAATATATATGAAAAATGTTTATTCTACTCATTTCAATAAAAATTTTCTATATGAAAAATGGACTTATTTCAATGGAAAAATTATTCACTTATTTCAATAAAAATACTACTACTATATGAAAAAGTTTATTCTACCAATCACAATCACAATATATATGAAAAATGCTTTATTCTACTTCAATAAAATTTCACAATCACAATATATATGAAAAATGGTTTATTCTACTTATTTCAATAAAAATTCACAATCACAATATATATGAAAAATTTATTCACTTATTTCAATAAATTCACAATCACAATATATATGAAATGGTTTATTCGACTAATTTCGAAAATTCACATACTACCACTGTATGAAAAATGGTTTATTCTACTTTTTCAATACAATACATCCTATCACTATATGAAAAATGGTTATTCTACCATTTCAATAAAATCACATACTCCACTTATATATATGAAAAATGGTTTATTCTACTTATTTCAATAAAATTTCACACACTACCACTATATGAAAAATGGTTTATTCTACTTATTTCGATAAAATTTCACACACTGTCCCCCTTTTCACTCCTTCCTTTCTTTCCCTCCGCAGATCCAAGCACAAGAACCAAGAGGAATACATCGACAAGCGAGGAATCCACGTGGTGGTCGGGCACTACATGGGCGAGGACATTCCGGGAAAGACGACGCCCAATCTGACCGACGGTACGGAGTGGGATGAGGACACTGGCTGGTTGAGGTCACGCACACACACACGCACACGCACACGCACACGTACGCACACACACGCACACGCACACGCACACACACACACGCACACACACACACACACACACACACACGCACACACACACACACACACACACATATATATATGGAAGAAAAAACACACAATGCACAAACTAGATTTATTGAGGAAAGTGAGACAACAGTTTCGGAATCGTCCTCGATTCCATCTTCGGGTCTGAGGAGGCAAGGGAGAGTAAGCGGTATAAGAGGGAAGGAGGAGAAGCACTCGGGAACCACGGGGCAGGTGAGGACAGGAGAACGGAAGCGAAGGGAGGTCAGGTGGTCTGTGTGACGGGTGGCCGGCATAAGGGAGGAGACGAAGGATGTGGGAAGCGAGGAGGCTGTCGGCAGGAGAGAAACCGCTGTTCAAGTTGAAAATGGGCAGCAGCTTAATCAGAGAAGATTCCACCAGTCGGCGGGCATGGACATCAGCGGAAGGGAAAGAGAATGCGTGCTGCTTTCCAGTCCATCTGATGGCCAGTGTCCCACTGATGGCAGAAGAGGGCGTTGTTGCTATGTCCCCTGGATACAGCGTACTTATGCTGAGACAGACGCTTAGTAAGACTGGTGCCTGTTTCACCAAAATACTGCTTATCACA